GACATTTGGGTTGATTCCAAGTCTTTGCTATTGTGAATAGTGCCACAATAAACACATGTGTGCATATGTCTTTATAGCAGCATGATTTATAATCCTTTGGGTATATACCCAGTAATGGGATGGCTGGGTCATATGGTACTTCTAGTTCTAGATCGTTGAGGAATTGCCATACTGTTTTCCATAAGGGTTGAACTAGTTTACAATCCCACCAACAGTGTAAAAGTGTTCCTATTTCTCCACATCCTCTCTAGCACCTGTTGTTTCCTGACTTTTTAATGATTGCCATTCTAACTGGTGTGAGATGGTATCTCATTGTGGTTTTGATTTGCATTTCTCTGATGCCCAGTGATGATGAGCATTTTTTCATGTATCTGTTGGCTGTATGAATGTTCTCTTTTGAGAAATGTCTGTTCATATCCTTTGCCCACTTTTTGATGGGGTGGTTTGTTTTTTTCTTGAAAATTTGTTTGAGTTCTTTGTAGGTTCTGGATGTTAGCCCTTTGTCAGATGAGTAGATTGCAAAAATTTTCTCCCATTCTGTAGGTTGCCTGTTCACTCTGATGGTAGTTTCTTTTGCTGTGCAGAAGCTCTTTAGTTTAATTAGATCCCATTTGTCAATTTTGGCTTTTGTTGCTGTTGCTTTTGGTGTTTTAGACATGAAGTCCTTGCCCATGCCTATGTCCTGAATGGTATTACCTAGGTTTTCTTCTAGGGTTTTTATGGTATTAGGTCTAACATTTAAGTCTCTAATCCATCTTGAATTAATTTTCGTATAAGGAGTAAGGAAAGGATCCAGTTTCAGCTTTCTACTTATGGCTAGCCAATTTTCCCAGCACCATTTATTAAATAGGGAATCCTTTCCCCATTTCTTGTTTTTCTCAGGTTTATCAAAGATCACATGGCTGTAGATGTGTGTTATTATTTCTGAGGGCTCTGTTCTGTTCCATTGGTCTGTATCTCTGTTTTGGTACCAGTACCATGCTGTTTTGGTTACTGTAGCCTTGTAGTATAGTTTGAAGTCAGGTAGCGTGATGCCTCCAGCTTTGTTCTTTTGACTTAGGATTGTCTTGGCAATGCGGGGTCTTTTTTGGTTCCACATGAACTTTAAAGCAGTTTTTTCCAATTCTGTGAAGAAACTCATTGGTAGCTTGATGGGGATGGCATTGAATCTATAAATTACCTTGGGCAGTATGGCCATTTTCACGATATTGATTCTTCCTATCCATGAGCATGGTATGTTCTTCCATTTGTTTGTGTCCTCTTCTATTTCACTGAGCAGTGGTTTGTAGTTCTCCTTGAAGAGGTCCTTTACATCCCTTGTAAGTTGGATTCCTAGGTATTTTATTCTCTTTGAAGCAATTGTGAACGGAAGTTCATTCATGATTTGGCTCTCTGTTTGTCTATTACTGGTGTATAAGAATGCTTGTGATTTTTGCACATTAATTTTGTATCCTGAGACTTTGCTGAAGTTTCTTATCAGCTTAAGGAGATTTTGGGCTGAGACAATGGGGTTTTCTAAATATACAATCATGTCATCTGCAAACAGGGACAATTTGACTTCTTCTTTTCCTAACTGAATACCCTTGATCTTTTTCTCTTGCCTGATTGCCCTAGCCAGAACTTCCAACACTATGTTGAATAGGAGTGGTGAGAGAGGGCATCCCTGTCTTGTGCCAGTTTTCAAAGGGAATTTTTCCAGTTTTTGCCCATTCAGTATGATATTGGCTGTGGGTCTGTCATAAATAACTCTTATTATTTTGAGATACGTTCCATCAATACTGAATTTATTGAGAGTTTTTAGCATGAAGGGCTGTTGAATTTTGTCAAAGGCCTTTTCTGCATCTATTGAGATAATCGTATGGTTTTTGTCTTTGGTTCTGTTTGTATGCTGGATTACGTTTATTGATTTGCGTATGTTGAACCAGCCTTGCATCCGAGGGATGAAGCCAACTTGATCATGGTGGATAAGCTTTTTGATGTGCTGCTGGATCTGGTTTGCCAGTATTTTATTGAGAATTTTTGCATCGATGTTCATCAGGGATATTGGTCTAAACTTCTCTTTTTTTGTTGTGTCTCTGTCAGGCTTTGGTATCAGGATGATGTTGGCCTCATAAAATGAGTTACGGAGGATTCCCTCTTTTTCTATTGATTGGAATAGTTTCAGAAGGAATGGCACCAGCTCCTCCTTGTACCTCTGGTGGAATTCAGCTGTGAATCCATCTGGTCCTGGACTTTTTTTGGTTGGTAGGCTATTAATTATTGCCTCAATTTCAGAGCCTGCTATTGGTCTATTCAGGGATTTAGCTTCTTCCTGGTTTAGTCTTGGGAGAGTGTAAGTGTCCAGGAAATTATCCATTTCTTCTAGATTTTCTAGTTTATTTGCATAGACGTGTTTATAGTATTCTCTGATGGTAGTCTGTATTTCTGTGGGGTCGGTGGTGATATCCCCTTTATCACTTTTTATTGTGTCTATTTGATTCTTCTCTCTTTTCTTCTTTATTAGTCTTGCTAGCGATCTATCAATTTTGTTGATCTTTTCAAAAAACCAACTCCTGGATTCATTGATTTTTTGGAGGGTTTTTTGTGTCTCTATCTCCTTCAGTTCTGCTCTGATCTTAGTTATTTCTTGCCTTCTGCTAGCTTTTGAATGTGTTTGCTCTCGCTTCTCTAGTTCTTTTAATTGTGACGTTAGAGTGTCAATTTTAGATCTTTCTTGCTTTCTCCTCTGGGCATTTAGTGCTATAAATTTCCCTCTACACACTGCTTTAAATGTGTCCCAGAGATTCTGGTATGTTGTATCTTTGTTCTCATTGGTTTCAAAGAACATCTTTATTTCTGCCTTCATTTCGTTGTGTACCCAGTAGTCATTCAGGAGCAGGTTATTCAGTTTCCATGTAGTTGAGAGGTTTTCCAGGAATTGAACTCATCTCTGCAGCAAGCAGACCTAATAGACATCTACAGAACTCTCCACCCCAAATCAACAGAATATACATTCTTCTCAGCACCAAATCACACTTATTCCAAAATTGACCACGTAATTGGAAGTAAAGCACTCCTCAGCAAATGTACAAGAACAGAAATTATAACAAACTGTCTCTCAGACCACAGTGCAAGCAAACTAGAACTCAGGACTAAGATCTGTGCTTCTTTCAGAATGTTTAGAAACAAGGATTGACGAGTATGTCAAGATTTAGCTATTCGTACTACTTTTAAAACTTACAAAACATTCCTTTGGGAAGGAAATAAGGTAGAACCAACATGGCCTGAACCCTAATCTATGTTGGAAGAAATCTACAGGGGCACACTTTACTGGGAAAGGACACAGCAAAATATTGCCCTGACCTTTTCCTGTGTTAGAAGTTTGAAGAGAGTATGACATTTATGACACTAACTTTGACATTTAGCTCACCAAGTAAAAGAAGCTTATCTTGCTTCTGTGCATGAGAAACAAGAACCGCCATCAAAAATTAGCCTTTTGGTGGCTAGTTTTTTGCAGGTCCTTAATCCAGGGCCCAGAATTTTTTAGCATATGCAAAACTAAAGATGGTGCCAGGTGTGGTGAGTCACACCTGTAATCACAGAACCCTGGAAGGCTAAGCCTTGAGCCCAGGAATTTGAGACCAGCGTGGGCAACATAGTAAGACTCCATCTCTAAAAAAAAAAAAAATTTTTAACAAATTAGCAGAGTGTGGTGGCACACACTTGTAGTCTCAGCTACTTAGGAAGCTGAGGTGGGAGGATCCACTTGAGCCCAGGAGGTTAAAGCTGCAGTGAACCAAGATCACACCACCGCACTCCAGCCTGGGTGACAGAGCGAGACACTGTCTCACAAACAAACAAACAAACAAAAATATATAGATGTCAGGAGTTTGTTTACATGTATGTATACATAAAGAAATATATTCAATATATTCATCCTTGTAGGCTTCATGGTAGCAGATCTATCCTTTAAATATTCAGCCTAAAAAATTGCTTAATTGCTGGTATTATAAAACAAAATAATTTTTTAATTCATGAAAATATTAGGGTTGTTAATTTTATTTTCTTAGTTCTGTTTTTTATCAATTTTTGACAAGAAGTATATTAATTTTTATAATCAGAACAAAAGGAAGACTATTTTGAAAATTCATACATTAGATAATTTGGGGTTAGCAGAGATGTCTAGTATTGTAATCTTTTTTACTTTTCCCCTAATCTAACCTATCTCAATTTCTTCTGTTTAATATCTCTGATAAAGAAACTCTGGATAATTGTTGAGAGTTTAAAAAGAATGAAAATAAGTTTTAAATTACAAATTCCTTGGTAGAAGTAATAGAACCTGCAACTAAACCAGTGGCCTGTGTAACTGTGGAATTGCATACTTTAAGTATTTTATGCACCAAAACGGATCTCAAGAAAGTCTTAGTAAAAGTGACATTTAATGGCATTTAGCTAGTATTTAATAAGAATTAGAGAGATGCTAAAGCTTATAAACCTACTAAGATCTACAGAATAAAAAAGAAGTTTGTATATATGTGAAATACTTAGGTTACTAGAAACGTGCTTGTGAGTGAAGTTATTGACCATTCCAGACTAGAGAAAGAAGCTATTTCTCAGAAAATGTTTGCTTATGTGATTATAGTGAGAAGTGGCTGCTGCCCCAAATCTGAGCGAGATCATGAACAATGGACATTTATGGCAGTCAGTGAGGGCGGCAGGGAGAGCCCTCCAGCCTCACTAAGCCACGTGAACAGACACCGGGATGGTAGAGACGAAGCAGGAAAGCCTGGAAAACAGGTCTGGGTTCCTGTCCTGGCTCGGCCACAGAATGGCTTTGAAGCCTTGGCCACATCACAGTCTCTGGGCTTCAGTGTCCTCAACTATCGATGGAAGATAATATCTACCCCACAGAGTTATCACGAGATCAAATAAATGAAATTATATCAAACATTTAGCAGCGTGCCCAGCACGTGGTAGCTTTTTGTAATAGTTTAGCCCCTTCCCTGTGAAACAGGTCCAACCTTTCTCATCTGAAGCATCTGGTGGTTCCACAGTCTGGTATCCAGCCGGAGAGGGTCCTGTGATGTCCAGTATTGTGTATGCCGTTTCTTATGTTCTGTATTTTAAAAAAGGAAATAAGTGGACCATGACTGAGTTTTCTTAATAAATGTTAATGGCACTGCTAGACTCCCTGTATTTCATTCATTTGTGCCTGCTCTTATAATAGAATTTAATAAAAAGATTATTCTCTAGAATTATTATTTGTTAGGAAAGCTGTCATTCTGTATATTTCCTAAGTGAAGAAACAAATGATGGAAGAAATAAAAATATCAAAGAATTTTCCACAGGAAAGCATCGAGAAAAATAAGTTTCCTCTTAATGCTGATATTGTTTTTCCAGTCAACATTATTTCAAGAAATTAAACCAGGAAGTGGGAAAAAGTGATTTTGAAATATTACTTGAAAATAAATAGGCTGAAATTATTGCTGGAGGATACCACAATATAGTAAGCAACTTCTAAAATGTCACTATTCTTTTCCATTGTTTCTGAGTGGCATAGAAGCATATAGACAATGTTATCTAAAGTTTATAAACTGCTTATATGCTTGAATATATATTCAGTGTATATTTTATTGTTGCTGTCTTCATGTTGTCTCACATAATAGATGAAAACTGACCCTTTGGTGTGGTTATATTTTGAAAATTGAGTTTGAAGTCTGAACAATTACATATATATCTTACAATGTTTTAAGCTACTGCCTTCAAAAAAGAAAGAAGCCTGCACAGTTATATTGTCATCAGCCCTGCAGAGCTGCTGATAAAGCAAATTTGTAAAGTCTCATGAATTGCCAAGCCAATTATCAGTCAGGTTCTGATTTCTGGAAGCATCATCCCATGAGATAAATAGACAAGTCAGAAATAACACAGCTTGATTTTAAGATAACAGGTGGAGGAGGCAATTTGATTTGGGGGAAATCTTGCATTGATACATGAGTGTATTCGCTTGATTTGGCAGTGGTTTTAGACACTGTATCTGGTACCATGGAGATGTCATTGTGGCAGACCTTCTCATTCTGTCTTCAGACTGTACCACACTTGTAAAACAGTGACGCTCATGGGGTATTATCTCAAAAGCCAAAAGGCTGTGAAGAAAAAAGTTGCTAGCAGTCTCTAACATGGGTGTGTCATGACTCTTTTCAGGTAGTAGGTGTAACCTTGAAGAAAAAGTGGCACTGTCTTCAAAAAAGTGACCTGACCCTGGCTTTGGTGGGTTTTTTCTGCAAGAAATAAAAAGCACCGCATGTATTTATCGTACATCCTTTCTAGCTGACCACTGCTTTGTTCTAGAGTTCAGCATGAAAGGACTAATTTTTGTTTTGTTTTTGTTTTTGTTTTAGTGAAATGGCATGTCCCTTGCTAATTCTAGCTATTATAGTTGCACATGTAAAGAAATATCTCTATGTAGCTTATGGATTGGTAGCATTTCAAATAAATAATGTACCGAAAAATTGACCTGAAATTTTTTGAGATGCTTATCAATTGACATTTTTTTCTTAGCCCAAGAAAAGAATCTGAATTATTATTTTCTTAAATTAAATTATACCTTGTAACATTAGATTTGTTATTTTAAATATAATAGGAATTGAAATATAAGCATGCCACTTTGTTTATTGCTATATTATTAGAACTTACTGAAGCATGGAAAGAATTCTTCACAAATGACTTTGTTCTTTTGAAAAATGTAAGCTGCAAAAATATTTGTTATAAACCATATTTAGTCTGTAAATGAGTGTAGCTTATAAAGATGTACTAAGTTTATAGTGTGTAATGTTTCATCCAAATAATTTTTATATTTTGATAAAATGTTAAACAAGTTAATAGTGCCATAATAAATCTTTTCCCAGAATTCAGAATTGTTTGCATCTCCATTTTAGGAAGTTCACATTGCTTCATTAAAGAAGAAACCTGGAAGCATTATGCACCTCAATTTGTTATGCAATGAAATCAAGTTATCATTTATTCTTCCAGAAGTCAGTTATTCTATGAATTGTGGCCATATAAACTTTTCAAAACACATACATATATGAAAATACTACTGATGTATTTGCTGAATAAAATCTCTAGTATTTGATATTCCATCTTGGAAATAACACGTTATAATTCAATAATGCTAGTTATAAAGTCAAAACAAAACAAAGAAACAAACTTTCAGCATTGTAAACAGATACACACATTTAAAAATCTATTAACTATACAAAACATTTTTTTTTGTTCTCATAAAGAAAAGCTGCCTCTGGATACATTTTAGAAAGTCAGTGCCTGAGAAAATGGACAATGTTTTGATCCCTAGAGTAAACCTACCTTCTAAATACTTAAAGCCCTTTGAAAGCACAAGATAATGATGTAATTGTATCCTTTTTGTTGCATGGAAACGATCAAGCTCTATTAAGTTCTGAGTTAATATCAACCCTGGCTCTTAATTCCCTTTTCCAACATTAGACCCCCCCCCCCCCATGTCGGTTTTCGTTTCTTTGCCTGTGATAGGTCTGTCTGCTACATTTGTATTTTAAGTAGATTTACAACACAAATATTCATATGTGTTCTTAGTATAAAATTATTTTCTTCAGGGAGGCTCTACCCAGAGACCTGAGAAAATTGAAGCTTTTGTTTTTAAAGTATTTAAGGACTATTTAATTTTTACATAGTATGAAATTTTTCTCATTGGGTTGGAAAGGTAATGTTTTGGGGGATTTTTCCCATTATACCATATCTAGTCTCAAAAAATGTAATAATCTGGTAAACCCAAATAACAGAAAGCCACCATATCCCTTTATAGTTTATAATTCTACTTCTTTGAGACAAATAACATAGGGATATATATGTGTTTGTGTACACATTATCTATATATATACATATACATATGTATCTATAGATATATAGAGAGACATAGATTAATGCCTCAATATTAATTATCCTTTACTGACATCTGTATTTATGGGGTTCTTCAGTTAAAAGACATTTCTAAAACTCTATTAAAATTATTTGGTCTGAAAAACATTGAAAGTTGCAGAATTTTTTTTTCATCAAGTTTATAACATCACCGCAGAACAGGCTGGGTGAATTCCTGTTATGTCAAGCCACTGAAGGATTTTTAGCTATTTTGCAACATTTTTACTCATTTTATCCCAATCCACCCAAAAATGGCAAAGACTCCAGAGATCACCCAGCAAAAGCCCTCTGTGGGAGTTGGATCCTGCTTCTAATCTCTGTCCCAAATTCCTGTCATTCAAAATATTTAGGAATTATAGAGTAATAATGTATAAATGAACATAACAGGCAACCCATAGTGTTTTTAAATTGATATTACAAAAAATTCTTGTCATGTTAATTTCCTTAAAACATATTATACATATAAAATACTATGTTAAAATTAAATGTAATATGTCAGCTGTAAAGGGGAAAAAGTAGCTAACTAAAAGTTCACAGATTATCTTTTTTCAGATTTTGTGTGTTTTCTCCTCAGCCAAAAGCCTCAAGATTCACTTGCAGCAGCCTACCTCTTCATTTATGTTGGATTGCTCTTTAAACATTAGAATATCTTGTAATAAATAATAAGTTAAAGATCTCTCCTGACACAAGTCATTGTTGATTTCACTGTTATAGGGAAAAGGCTCTAGGGCGGCAGATAAGGCTGTTGCCATGGTGATGAAGGAGATACCGAGGGAGGAGTCTGCTGAAGAAAAGCCCCTCCTTACTATGACATCACAGGTGGGCAGACCCATAGGGTTTCTGTAGGAAGCTGACATATGTTAATATATCAGACATTGTGATTCTTAACTAGAAAAAAAAACTTTAACTCTTGAACCAATTTTTTTAAAGACAGTTTCAATGAAACAATTATATAAATATAGATGAAAACCAAAATTGCTAAAAAAAGAAAAAATCACCATCTAGTTATTTATTTGTGAATATTAATCTCATTACTCAACTTTAGTTAAGACAAAAGAGAAAGAAAATATATGTGCAAGTAAAACATGTTGCTTCTTTATAAAGGAGTCTTGTTAACAACTTTGGGAAAGTAATAACAATGAAGCTAACAGTACATTTGAACAAAAAGAAAATCAAATTCCTGTGAATAAATACAAGTTATATTGTATACATATGTCAGTTTACCAGTAGAATATCTAAATTTTCTTAAATGTTAAATATATTTATGTTGTGACTATGCATACTACATATATGTCTATACATATTTATGTGGATAACTAATTTACAGGAATGAGCCAGAAGTCCCTGAGTCCCCATGCAGAAAATGGCATTTGTGACCCCTCTCATACTCAGTGACCTTGAGAACAAAAATGTCATGTCTATTATAAGCACATGAGAGCCATTTTCAGCATTTATTATAACAAGTATAGAAAAAAGTCTGCATTTGTATGCAAAGAATGTGGAGACTGTGAATCCTATATGTCCTCGGGGACTTTTGAAACACCCTGTAAAATCTACATAAATATGTATAATGTACTCATCACCACTCTGTGGGACTACCAGTTTTAAAATCGCAAATGAAAAATATTTTTACTTGCATTTATCTTATAATTTAGATTAGATTATTTTAAACATTTCATTTTTTCCATTCAGTTCCGATTATATGATTCAGTTCCGATTATATGAACATGTCTAGAATTCGAAAAATGTCCATTTACAGTCCTCATGAAAGGCATTTATATCAAAAGCTAAATTATGGCAACTTATTTTTAGAATATCAGCAGATCTCATCCCCAGCTGCTGCCAACATGTGTGGTTTTATTTTATTCTAAATACTATGTTGTAAGTTATAAAAATTATAACATGTAACATCAAAATTAAATAATTTTTAAAGCTATTAAAGATTCCCAAGACTTTGGGATAAATTTTATGTTTTCAGGGTTTTTTTAATCCCAAAAGAAGAGATGCTTCTTCCTAATAACACATAGTAATCGTTGGAAAGAAATTTGCTTGATATTTACCAAATTCCTCATTCTTTACTTAGTATATGTAGTAAAACATATACAGTTTTACACTGATCTCTTGTCAATCAGAGTCAGACGTTTGTAGACTCCCATTTCCAAAACATTAAGTCCACAGTCCCTCAGGTGAATGCTATTGGGTAGGGAGGTGAGAACTACTTGAAGTTCTTGCTTAAGGGCAGAGCCATACAACTGTAGATATGACCTAACCAAATTTGCAATTGGCACAGTTGTACTGTAACATATCATCTCAGGACTTCACAATCTAGGGCAGGTTCCAGTACCCAAGATTCTTTTTTCACAAAATCACGCATTGCTATGTACTTGCTGGTAATCTTTTCACATGTCCAAAATTACCATTATAACCTAAGCTTACATTTAAAATTTAATGCAAAATAATATTTTTGATTTTTAATTTAGAAAAGAAATTGTGATTATTACCATTTTCTCATATCCAGGACATGCGTTTGTACCAAGTTTTTCCTTTAATCCCTGTCTAATGTTGCATTAACTGTTTTTGAGGTATTAGTTACAGTTTACTGCATGAAGATTATAGAATGCTTTATTTGATGCATCATATTCTTGTTGCATACTGGCCAGTTTATGAATCAGCAAACAAAGTTCTGATTTATAAAATTTAATGCACCTGTTGTGTTGATAGTATTACAGAATTAATTTAGTGACAGCTGTGATACAATTATTTCTCAGTCAAATGCAGTTTTATTAGTTGATATACTTTTTCCACTATACACAAGTGGCTTCTTCCCTGCTATGCACCAGTGGCATGCACAAACCAAACAGAAGCAGAATGATCTGAAAAAGTGAGTACTTCCCACGACAACCATAGCATCTAGTCCGTGTATCATACTACATTCTTACTTGTTATCTTGTGTGAATGTACTACTGTCTTGACACATGTTTGTCCCAGTGTCTCCTGTAGAGCCCCTTATAACATAGAGCCACATACTGCTGAATACATTGATTCATCTTCATCACTGGTATGTCAATGCCAGCTGCTCATGTGATAGATTCCAGATATGTCTGAAGATAATTGCTACTGTATAAATAGTGTCATTGGGACAATTATGATACATAAAATAGAAAATAACCCACTGAAATACTGAGTTTTATCTTATTTCATAACTTTTCACTCAACAGACTGTAGGTGTAGAATAATCCCATATTCTAGAACTTTCTTGTATTATGCGATTATTATTGTGTGGTCCTCAACTTTTAGAGGAATTAAGCCAAACATACTCCAGTGGAGCTGTCTATATTACACTGAACAAATTGAATAATGCAGAAGTGTTGGCCCGATGACCTGAACTCAGAAATTGCTGGACCACTGAGAGCTGCTCTTTTTTGCTTAAAAATCATTTATTCCATATTAAGCAAACAATATGCAAGGACTTCAGAGAATTTCAAGTACATGCTATCCAAGACTAACATTTAAATCAAATAGTATGTAAAAAAGCATGTGTTGATGAAAGGTTTGAAGAAAATATGTGAATCAAGTCTTTGAGGAAAAAAAAGTTTCTCTGGACCTGTGCTGTCCAGTACAGTAGCCACGAGCTCCTGAGCTTTATGTGGCTCCTGAACTTTATGTGGCTGCTCCAAATTGAGACGTGCTGCAAGTGTAAAATGAACACCAGATTTCAGAGAGTAATCAAAAAAAAAGGTATAAACTATCTCATTAATGATTTTTATAATGATCATATGTTGAAATGGTAATATTTTGGATTTTTTGATATATTGGCTAAATCAAATATCTTATTTAAATTAATTTCACTTGTTTCTTCTTACTTTTTTAAACATAGCAACTAAAAATGTTTAAATCACGAGGCCCTCATCATAATTGTTGAACAGAATATTCTATTCTAAAGGGTAATAGTATAAACAAATCCAGTTTTAGAATAGAAGGGAAAGCAATTTGCCAGAAGATTGATTGTATCATAGAAAAAAAAAATGTATTCTCTTCATAAGAATGAAATGACTGTAGTGAATACTTTTCTCTGTTGAGGAACCTTCAAAAGTTTTCTTTTTGACCGTATCTCCTAGATACTTTTTTAGCAAGGTATAGCCCATTTATCTTTGCCTATTGAACACAGTGTCTTAAAACTGTGTTGCAGGTCTCTTCTTGTTAAGGGACTTTATTTTTTCAAGCCCAGGCTTTGTTTTTCTATCTGTCATCACCCATTATACCTCAGTACTAATTTAATTTTTGTTTCTGATAAAGATAAAAAGAGTAATGTCCTCGATTGGAAGAATATTTTCAAGGCTACTAGTAAATACAGCCTTGTTTGGGTTTCCATTTCTGACTTTAAAAATTGTCTTAATTATGTTCTCCTGCCTGCTTTAATTTATTGTTAGCACTACCCAAGCTGTGATCTGTTCATTTCCCTGTGAATAGATTCACATTTTACAAAAGTCTAGCTGTCCTATCAGGAATACATTTGTAGCTTGTTGGTTGACATTTAGATCAAGTCAAAGAGTTGAAAGTTATCACTTGGTTATCCGTTACCAGAAGACTAATAGGAAGTGGGGGTTGGGGCAGTCCATTAGTACTATAAGCTCAGAGGAAATGAATTCTGTCAGGCATCAGAGTTACCATGACAGAGCTCTAAAAATCTGGATTTTTAGCAGTTGCATGGTAATGATTTAGTTGTCTTATCTTTTCAATTGATAGAATCCATTAAGTTGGCTTTGATATTAATGAATCACTGACAGTATGGTCACTATATTGACAGGCATCGAATTAATTTCTAAACGTGGACAGGGCTAATAAAACCATAAACAAGTAGTTCAATTATAAAATAATGAATGAAAGCCTATTTAATAAATGACTTTAAATTAACAATGTCACAGAGTTGGGTGAAGTGATGGGCACCTGTAGTCCCAGCTACTCAGGAGGCTAAGATGGGAGCATCACTTGAGGCCAGGGGTTTGAGACCAACCTGGGCAACATAGCAAGACCCCATAAAAAAAAAACCATATCACAAATAATGCAGGAATTTCAAAACTTACAAAGATATTTGTGTTTCATTCATATATAAACAAAACAATTCTAAAATTTTTCTATTATTTAAATGAGGTAAAGAGATATGCCATAATATTACAAATTTTCTTAATCAACATTACAAATTTGAGATATTTGTCAGCTGTTTTAAACTTATTAGCTTCAATGTTTTAACTTTTAAAATTATTATTGAAGTACCAAGTGCTTAAATATAAAAACAGAATCTTTTACTTTAAAACAATTCAAGATCATCAATCTGAAATGTGAAATCATAGAATAATGGATTATTGTCCTTTACAGCCATTGTTTTATCATCTAGAATGTATTGTGCTTTAGGGCTAATTCTTAGTAATGTGTTATCAGAAACCTTGAGCTCTATATTTTTGAATGAAACATCTAAGCAATATATCTCTTTAAAAACAAATACAAAGATTTAAGTCACAAAACGTGATTTAAGTCACAAAACAAACAATATAAACATACACTGTAGTTTGAGTAACAAACAATATTTAAAAAGCAAAACATCTTTTCATCTTACTAGTTTTTTATAGCTTAGATTATATAATAGTTTAATTTTAAAACATTGAAATTGAGAAATTCAAGTTGAGCTAAGACAAATGTAGTTTCAGATAAAGTTTTAAGAGCTGGGTGA